ATCTAATACTTTGTTTTCGAACGAAGTTGAATTTGGGAAGTTGTTTTGCACGGCCTTTTCCCCCATCAAGACTGAACCGTAGAGGAATGATGGCTCACGATATGAAGGATGTGTTAACTTCCTGAGCAAAAAAATGTAGTGGAGCTATGGCCCAGAACGTCTTCCTAGCGATTTCAATAGCCTCGAAAATGATAAGAGCGCATACTGATCGGCATCAGAGGTTTAAGAATGAATTAATATCAATGATTCGATTTCATTCAAGTCATGCGCACTATTTACCATGGGACGGGTGCAGCAGTTCGCTGCTGGAGACAAACCCTCAACTTTCAAGGATTCCTCCCCCAGTCGTGGACGTGGACACAGCCCGTCAAACATGGCCATCGCACCCTCTGCCGTCGAGAGCGATTCCCATGAATCTCAATTAGGGCTATGTCCCCGTACCCGGCCGAGGGCAAATCTCGAAAGTTGTGGGTTAGTCTCGGCCGGAGAGAATTAAATTCACTTTATCGCGTCCTCGATCCTAAGCACCCGGAGCCTACTTGCTTAGCTTACTGCCGCTCGGCCCCTGACGCTGCCTTTCAAATATCAGGCGCAGCAAAAAAAACTGAAGTGACCATAAGGTAAAGGACGAATCTCACGATTAGAATGAAGGTCGAAAAGAGTAATTCACCTAGTTGAGGGACCCGCGGACCTCCTAAGGGTGCGGACTGAAGCGCAATTGGCACCGAAGGAGTTGACCTCGGCGACCTATTAAGGCTCAATCTTGGCGCGGTGGGCCAGTGCACCCACCGATCATCTGATCACTCGCCGCAGGTCTATACGTGGCGAGTGATTAGATAGGTGAGAGAGCGTAGTGTTGAAGAGGGCACAGCGATGATAGTCGCATCAATGCTCAAATCAACGGGCAAGGAAAGGGGTCGCCATTTCTCATTGCCTTGGCCGTTTTCTACCATAAGTTTCCTTCTTCTGGTGTCATTCCGCTAAGTAGTTTGAATGGTTGCCCTTTCTAGTTCAAATTCGTTCCTTTAACTCTTTTGTCGGTTGCAGCGTTAATCTGCGAACCTCGTTCAGTATTACCAAAACACCAATAAGTGGGCACAGCAAGGAGATTGTCTTTTGAGATGACGCCTCTCCTTCTTCTACAGTGAAAAGGCCCGTCTCTATTTGGTTCTGACGAGCAATGTGGAGTAGGTTTTTGCAACAATAGACGAAGTTCTGCTGAAATCCAGGACCGAGGTTTTCAGCATCTCTCAATGCTCAAAACGCTGAAAGAATAGTTCAGAATGATTATTGTGTGGTCTACGGCTGTATAACATTTTCACAGCAAAAATGTGTCTTCAATAAGTTTACAAAATATGCAGGAACGTAGACCTTCTCACCCGGTACGGTCGCAGCAAGGGTTAGGACTCTAGTACACTTTGTTGTGCATTTTACGCAACTAACCCGCCACCTCTTGCTCAGCTACCACCACCCTTTTCAAACATTTGAATTGTCTGCCTTAGACAGGATGACAGGTCAAACCCACGACATGATCGAGCACCTTCAAAAGCTTCATTTACTTCAGAACTCAACACTGATGCAATCCTGATATTGTAGTTCGATTTCCATTTTACACAACTGGTTTGGCTGGAAAATATGACCGTTCAAAGCAGGATCCGAAAAAACTTTTAACACGTGACGCACGTGTGTAGCATGTCATAACACATCTCTTTGGCACGTTTGGACCTTGTGTGACATGATGTCATGCCACAGTCTTTTTTGAGGTGGTTTTCAAATATTTTGGTACACTTATTTGGGACGGTATATACGTCATACCTCAGGCATTGTTACAAAAGGCGTGGTCCCTGGAGAAGCTTCGGTTAAAGGGCTATGAGTTGTTCAAAAAAAGTTTGAAAATGTTTGAATAATGTTTGGTAGGTGCACTTTTTCTGCTTAGGCTGAACTTAGCCGATACAAAAATTGTTGGCAGTAGTAATTTGTTAATAATGGGTGAGGACACTTGTAGTAGCCCGAGATAATGGATCGAATGAATCCTACTCACTTTGCACAGACCTTCTGCGTTTTTTCTTGAAAAGTTTTGCTGGCCTCCATTCCTCCTTTCCCGACGAATCCTCGAGTCTGTGAGTGGTTTCCGACATGTAAACCCGATTGCAATCCAACGATCATTCTATAACCTCAAGATACAAGGGATCAGGAAGTGGTAAAGAGAGGGTACTCTCCCAATCGCACATTATGTTTGGTCCATTCTACGAATCGGAGGAATCGCTAAAATGGCCAAAATCGCATAATCGGAGACCTACCACACAAGAAAGATAACAAATACACACTTCCTGAGAAAAAGGAGTTCTCGTGGGACCGTGTGACATGATGTCATGTCACACTCGCGCGGTCAAAATAATGCGCGCGGTCCCACACGCCAGACAGCGAAAAATAGCGCGGTCGTCAACGTGTTAAAAGACCTAGTACTGAATGAGATGACTCAACCCTCAGAATCAGCGCGGTGCATGACGCCCCACTTTGTAACAGTAGCCGGATTACGATTCACATTTGGCTTCCTGTAGAAACGACCATCTCGAAGCGATGTTCGCAATAAAAAAATCATTTTCGATTTCTCTGCGGTGAGGCATGCTCCGAACCATAAAACAAGTGATTGCTACAAGAACAGGGTTTCACGCACATCAAAAGGATCGAAATTCAGCAGCTTGAGAAACGTATGTAGGAAGGCGAATGGAACAACAGTTAAAGAATTCGATCGTTTGACGTCTCTAAAGGCTCTAATTGGAAGGTTGAGATGCTGATAAAGCAGGGAGCCCCATCCGAGCTTGAGAATTTGTTCTATGTATTACCTAGCTGAAAATTTCCTCCAGTTTCGCCATTGTCGCCTTGATCTGAATAATACCCCCTGAACCTGGCAGTGCCACTTTAGCTGGACCGGAAGTTGTCACCTGCCTTACTAATTCGTTACATAAACCAAAGGCGATTAAATCAAAGCTAAGCAGCATTCAGCGCGATTTTATCTTCACACGACCTTCAATTGGAGTGTTGAACTCGGAACTGTGCCGATGTTGACAACCCGTGCCGACAAATGTGACGGCCATTAAAGCTGTATATAAGGAACGCAGCAGCTGTGGTTTTCACACCATGACTTACGACGAGAAGCACTGGGAATCGGAGGCGCACTCTCTCAGGAGATTCGCTTTCGTCGGCGTGGCCCTCTCCACCATGGCCACCCTCGTCTGTGTGATATCGGTGCCAATGCTCTACAACTACATGCAGCACATGCAGTCCCTCATGCAGAACGAAGTCGACTTCTGCAAATCTCGCTCTGGAAACATCTGGAGAGAAGTCACACGCACTCAGGCAAATATTCCCACTTTCTCAATTTTCTTTTAACTTTTTTTCCAACTACTTTTCTCTCTTAATCTGATTCTACCACTTTAGGTTCTCGCTGGATCTTCCAGGAAAGGCCGTCAAGCCGGCTACAGTACTGGCGGTGGAGGTGGATGCTGCGGATGTGGTGTCTCTCCAGCAGGACCTCCCGGACCACCTGGTCACGATGGACAACCTGGATCAGATGGTGCTCCAGGACAAGCCCGGCAAAAGATGGACCCGACGGACCACCACCAACACCGGCCCCTGACTTCTACCCTTGCTTCAATTGCCCTGCCGGTCCTCCTGGCCCAGCTGGACATCCTGGACCGAAAGGAGCCCCAGGAAACCCCGGATCAGATGGACACCCAGGAAAGGATGGACATGGGGGTGGACCCGGTCCCATGGGACCACCAGGACATCCAGGGAAAGATGGCAAACCTGGACATCCAGGAGCTCCTGGAGAACCTGGAAAGCTCAAGGAAGTTGCAGGTCACCAAGGACCACCTGGACATCCCGGTCCTCAGGGTCCTCCAGGCCCTGATGGACACCCAGGAGAACCTGGAATGCCAGGTGAAGATGGTCATCCAGGAGAGCATGGTGATCCCGGAAAGCCTGGTGAGCACGGACATAAAGGAGAAGGACGGACATCATGGAGAGGATGGACACAAGGGGCCGGATGGAGGTTGTGATCACTGCCCTCCTCCTCGTACCGCACCTGGCTATTAGAACAATTGATCGCTAAATGAATAAATATGATCAATGCTTCCAACTGTTTCCAGCAAACATAAGCAAACTTGTGAATATCGAGTTATCTACAACGATACTGTACATGCATGTAGTTCACTTACCTGTGAATTATTATGAGATTATTGTGAGGTGATTGTGAGATTGCTGGTACACAGGAGTACTACTAGTTTGTAAGGAAATTTCTTGCTATTTTAGACAGTTCATGTTTCGAAGCGTTCTTCCTGATTGAATTTTTGGCAGACTGCTACGAGTTGTATTATAAAAACAAACAAACAAATATGGTATTAACAACAATAATAAACAAACCACCAAAAAGTCTGCTTTCTGCTTCATCCTAGGGGTGGTGCCAGCTTTGGTCAATGTGACGCTCCACTTTTTCGAAGCTTTGAATAAAACGCTCAACGAGCGAAGCCGACTCTTTTCTTTCTTCTGCTCACTCGAAAAAGGCAAAAAGGAACCAAATCAGCCAATAATGTGAGCTTATTTGGTCCCGCACCTTTCGAAAAATGCATTGCGCACCGCTGCTTGGAAAGCTTGTGCAGGGATGACGAAAGCATCGAAGAAGGTGAGGGTGGCCGTTAGCGCGTTGACGACATCGCGCGTTTTGTGCTTTTGCATCACGTGGGACAAGAGCGATTCTGCGAGCGCGCGCCGTACACCAAATCCAATGGATTTTAAGTTGTAAATCCGCAATACTTAGATGCGATGAATGTTTTCAATGATGTTCGATCTGTCTAGCTTATCAGGAGTTACAGTAATGGAAGTTTGACCGAAATGACGTGTTAAGGCCATGAAAAGGGAAATTTTACTTAATTTCCCTTTAGTGGTTCCAAAATTAATTTGGACGTGGTTGTTTCAGTAAAAACACATATCTTCCCATACGAATAGGTTTGTATTAGCATTCATTATATTCCTTTTTCATCAACATGTCTACCTTATTGAAAAGAACGCAGGAATGAATGGAACAGAATATCGTTAAGGTCTGGCGGAAATAAAACGTACTGCAACTATAGAATTTGGGAACTTTTGGTGCAGGCCGATGTGGTTTATTGGTATGCTAAATGTACTTCTGATGCCTGTAATGGGACCTAAGAAGCAAGATGAGGTGCAAGAAGACCTTTACAGGGACATCTAGGAATTCCAAATTCCCATGGAAGCTTTTGAAATTGGAACCAGAGATATCGATAGAGCTTCAAAGGCTTATTACAAATATGGAAACTAAAATTGCAAAATGAAACTGCCAAGGAAGTTGTGAGCAGTCAAACTTGGCTGAAGGTGAAGCGCTACGTAACAACTGTGGTAGTCTCCGGGCTTTCAAAGTCGCCGTGTAGTAGTGGTAGTGCTCTCGAAATTTGCACACCAACGGAGGAGAACTTAAGACCTTCTGGGTAAGGAGCGAGGCACTACCACTACTACACGGCGACTTGAATTGCTGGAGGATCCAAGGTGTGATTACGTAGCGCTTCACTTCACAAGTTTAATGTACAGCTTGCTTTGAAGGTTGGTTTCAATTTATGTATCAGCTTTGAGCTCTACGAATACTGAGATTCAATTCAAAGTTTCATAGGAGTGAATGGCTTTCCTGGTCAGACCTTAGGAATAAGTCGCACAAGCGCAAGAAAAAAGATGACTTGGGTGGGACGCGTTACCGCGTCACAATGTCCTACGAGGTGCGCAAAGTGGGACGCGTTACCGCGTCACGCTGTCGTCAACGTGTTAGATATCGAATGTTGATAATGATTATAAAACATGTGATAAAATCAAATGTGGTTAGAACTTAATTAGAGAGTTCGTACTGAAATAGCTAGCCTGGTCTGTTCACGTCATGGGAATCAGAGTTGACAGTCGATAAGTGGGTGGAGCAAAAAATTGCCTCGGTGGAGCCGTCTACCCTTGTTCTACCTTCTTCCGATGAAGTCGACCCATTTTTCGTTCAGATTTTGATATGCAGTGAAGTTGGGATCTTCACAATTACCTTTGAGCTCGGCCTCAATCAATCACGTTGGCTAACAAACCTCGTTGTTAGAAAACTGCAAATGAGGAGAAGGTTGTGCTGCTTGTTACGAGGTCTATAGGAGGAGCAGCTCTGCAAGCACAGGCAGAACTATTATAGTGAGACAGTATTCTTAGCAGGCCGTCAAATAGCTCTTCGAATCACGCTCAACGGGAAACCCATGCTGATTTGAAGCTTTTACTATCATTGATTTTTTGAGTCATTACAAGCATTAAGGGCGAGGCTCAGGGACCATCTAATGGTATTATTGGCTTTGTTCAGAGACACGGGTCGGGATCGACATGGCGTATTAATTTTGTTCGGAAAATAGACAAAAAATGCAAGGTTTTGGATTGTTATTGAAGAGAAAAGTAAAAGGGGCCATAGAAAACACTGCTTTTCCCTTGAAAGGCTGGTTGTGGGATGCAGCGAGACACGGCTTTGCGTAAAGAGAGGGGACGCGAGAGAGTAATTATACGCGAGAGGAAACAGACGCCATGTTTGCGATAACGCCGTGTAACGACTAAATAAGGATGGCAGCAGGTCAGCAATTTCACAGCCAAGAGCTATTAGGCACGGTCGACCCGTTTGAGTCGAGGAGAAGCTCACCTGGCGTTGAGGGACTCTCTAGAAGGGACGTCTGGCTCCTGCGCCCTCCAGGCACACATGATTTGGACTGAGAACAGGGATCAAGCGGATCGTCGAAAGGAAAATTGGGAAAAGCGACCCTCCCCTCCTGCCATGAGGCCGAAATCATGAAACTATCTCTTATAAGCTTGACATGCAGAGTTTTTATCTCCCCCCGAAAGTGTTCATGAAAAAGCCTTGCTACCCTACCCTCCATCGAAAAAGTCCTTCAATGAGTACAAAAGTAGAAAAAGTCAGGGAACCATCATTACTGATGAGTCCTACCAAACGAGCAAACGAGAAACGGACCAGAAAAACGACAAACCTCACTAAAAATGGCATATGACAACATCTCTTCTTTATTTATTTCCTTCACAAGACTTACCAAATTCTAGTACTACACAGAGTATGGTTCTCAATTTACACGTCCCCTTTCAGTTGAAAGAAGCTTTGTAACCGCCTTCGCCAGCTGTGTGTTGACTGGACTTTGGCGTTGACCGTGGAGCAGCTTATTTACTATTGAAATTTGAACAAATATTCAAATGATTATAACTTTCTTCAAATATGACGAATTTTCAATCTGAAAGCAGATTTGGGAGTTTTGTGAAGAGCTCTTTCTAATCAGTGTTGAAATTACAAAAAGTTATAAGAAATAACAAATTTAGATCAATTAACGAGGAAAATTCATGATGAGCACGAGTTTTTACACTTTCCGAAGCCATAACTTGCTTCATTTTCGTCAAATCGAAAAGTTAATATGGCATACAAAACTAGAAGATTTTCTCTATCAAACGGTTGCTAAAGCAGCTTTATACGTCCAGTATTCAAAAATGGCCACGTTGAGGATTTTTGCAAAATTAACGATCGTCAAATTTGAAAAGCTTATACGGCGGAGAAAACTAGAAGATTTCTCTATCAAATCTTACTAAAGCAGCTTTATACGTCCAGTATTTAAAAAATGGCCACGTTGAGGATTTTTGCCCGAGTACCGCCGAAAGGTACTTTTTCGCTACATTGGCACTATTTCAACGACTATAGCTCCTTTCAGGGGCGATTATGTACTAAAGTAGGAGCATTCGGAATCCTCGTGCTTTTCTCTTTCCAAAAGTGTAAAATTGTTTAGCGTTCTCAACTTTAAAGGTTACATGCTTATGAATTTGACGCTGAAGGCTGCGTTTCTTGTTGAATGGTGTACTCCTCCCTGTAATTTCACATGAACCCTTTCAGAATCCTCTTGATTTTTCCTGAATTGAGATTCTTTCTCCAGAGAGCCGTAGTTGAAGCGCGCGCAACCAACTGCTCTGGGATGCGCCGTGTGCTTCACATCCCTTCAGATTCGAGGACTCACTTGAAAGATAAAATATCCCTTGGAAAACGTGCGAATTTCGGATTCTTTAACTTGTGTGGTGATAAAACACTGAAGTAACTAAGAATTGCTAAGCGGACACCTCAGAATCACGAAGATTTTGTGTGGGCGGAATATCATTGTTATTGGAAATACTCTGGCCTGGCATCGATTCGATCCTTGATGTTTGTCCTCCGACGATGATCCTACTGTATCAATCGGGCCCGATCTCTCCCCAGCGGGCCAATACGACCCCCCCCCTGTGACATGTCGAGGATTCCTCAACGCACGCTTGACCCTGGTCGAGAATGTAGTGGCTGACAGGCCTCCGCGCCTGGCTTACCGAACACCGGAATCAAACTTCACTGCCTCAGCTAGTAATTATACAATAGAACAATTACTGGCAGAAATTCGAAGCGAGGGATGAGCAATGTCTGTGTATTGAGGCCTTCAACTGTGGCCCAAGCTAATCCTATTCCTCTTTTTAGACCTAGTAGGCGGTGGATACCCTTATTGTTATATAGAGCTCCTTGCCATTTTTGTCACACTCGAACATCCTGAACCTGGTAGGCCTTTCGTCAGCGCTGACCGTACCCATCACACCTCCACAACATTTCGCATTAAATCACTCCATGGAGTGTAGCACCAAAGGATCTCAGGGAATAACGAGGACATGAATCAGCTTAAAGTATTTTATACTTTTTCGACCATTAGAGCATAGTAATAAATCACAATATTGATGATACATCTTTTCTTAACTAATAAATATTTACACATATTGAAACACAGCTATAGATGCACTAGTACAGCAAGACACTATGTGGTCAGACTTGAGAACAATCTACAAGGCTACTTCGGTGGAAGAACTACTCTCTTCTTACAGATTGAATAGTGCTTCGTTCCGCAATAATAGAAAAAGGCGTATCGAAGACGGCCTTCTAGGAGAGTTGTAACAGGCAAGACACTGCGTGCTTGCACTCCAGCCATTCATCTCCGGTGTACCGGGGTTAACGAGCCAATCTCTGAAAGCAAAATCGCAGTTGTTAAGCAGCATCAGGATAAAGAAGCCTACCAAGGAATGAACCCACTCACATTTCAGGCCACATTGACCCCGCCGTTTTCCGGTCACGTGCTATACGCAGCCTTCACCTTCATAACGCACCCAACTCAGCGCGCAGCGGAGCAGTTCTGTCGGACAATGGCTTCTTTAGAAAGCTCCGAATTGAGTGCTGCGAACATTCAACTAACAATTACGTTACCCATTCTAGCGAATTCGGGGTTACAAAAAATCTTGCACCTATTTACCACGAAGTTATACGAGGCCATGTCAAAGCTCAATTTCATCGTCTCGAACAAATAACACGAATTGAACAAACGCAGCCAGCCATCTGGGCAGGGAGGTTCCTGAAACTGAGCTATCGTAGATGAGGAGAGCTCGCAGAAATTTCCCTACACAAACCTGTGTAGAGTTCGATGATAGTGCAGACGCGAAGTGCGCCAAACAAAGTGCGAGAATAGTTCTGCAAAAGATGGAATGGTGGAGGCACAGTACGTCACAAGAGGAAGGGAAAAAACTCACTTAGCCAGCATGACGTGGAGGTAGAATGTGTGCCAGGCATCTTTTATAGGCCCTACATTGACCATATTAGGACTTCTTGGCGCCAAATGCACTTGACGGACTGCCATCGGCAGTTCATCCTGGTCAAAAGTACTTGCTAGTGAGGACCGGTGATCTTTGTCTACAAACATTTTTCTGAATTCACAACTTCAAATCTTCAGAGGATCTCACGGCGTCCTAGCCGTAGTGGTCATAAAGGCCATTCTCTGGAAATGTGTCATTAAGTCCATGCTTGTCTAGGTTGTTGAAGTCTCTGGGTGCTATGTAAACCAATAATTAGCGGCGCTCGGATCAAAAAACAGAGGCAAGATCTTTGACCATGCGTTGCTGCAGTCTCACTCGGAATCGATGGGTCCGTGGAGGTCATTTGCGATTTAAAACAATTTTGAGGCCTGAACCTTATTAATAAGGCCCGGGGTTTTGTGCATTGAGGGCTAATTTTCCAAACATTCAAACATTTTGTTCTCAGAGGTTTTCGTCATTGCAATAGTCACCAGAAAGTTCTCTCACTGTTCATTGTTTTCTTTTCGAATTACCTCGGTATAGACTCATAGACTGCAATGTCATCCCTCATAGCGATTATTCGGTGAAATTTGAATAGCTATTGCTCCGACCATTGTACGGGAAGTTCGTCATCGACCAGAGTTCAATTGCTGCCCGAGAGGCGTGCTCGTATCGCGAAAAGGCTGTGGTCTGTGGTCGAGAATTGCTGACAAATGGAACGATTGCGAAACTGACTTTATCGCAACCCTATAAAATCAGCACCGATTGTCCTATGCTCAATCACTCGCGTTTTTCTTCGCAAGCGTTCACGTCTCCACACCTTTATCGTGCTTTAGAGCTCCTTGTTAGAGTCAACATAGATCACAACTTGGAACACCTTTTTACACCGTTAAGTAAGAGATACAAACCGCTTGGCGCCAGTCAGTCTTTTCTGTTATGCGCCACGCATTTCGCTTCCACTCAGGTTTGTAGTGGCACTGGACTATTCCCAGATAATAGCCGGGGGAATACAGCTGATATAAAGCCTGAGCTTGTCCTCCTTGATCAGTCTCAAACCGCTTGAAGGAATCCTAGGATCAAAGACGTTGCTGTTTTGGGTAAGAATTTAATCTAGAGCTCGGTTACTGGTTCTGTGTATTCTAGGCTACACCACGGGCCGTATCCTATTCCTCCAAGTCAGAGGAGGAAATCCCTTTGTATTTTCTTTGTCTTCCAACAAGAATTGCCCTTAAAAGCTGCATATTTGTAATGCGTGCATGTGTGTAAATGTCTTCGCGATGAACAATATGACCCGTTGAGCCCATAATTCTACTTGGCACACTCTAATACTCTATACTTCGAAGAACATCTCACAAGCCATCGGAACGGGAATTTGTTTAGTAAGAATGAAGAAATTTAAAACTTATAGGTGTAACAGTACTTTTTTCCGCTCTGTAGTTTAGTTAGGTTGTGCCATGCACCCACTTTAAAAAAATAAAAAGGATAAAGCATTTGCCGTTGATCAATCCCTTTTTGGGATGCGGCACGCATTCTACTTCCATTTGTACATTCGCAGTGGCGTTTGAATGCGATGTGGCC